TCCCGGCCTTTCTTTGAAAGACGGCTTTTTGAGTTCGTTGTTGAATTTAAATTCCTCTCCAAGCCAGAGTGATCGTTCCTTAGATTAATCGCCCCTCATTTCTATTCCTTTAGTCTCTCGCTCATTTTTTTTAAAGTATGTTTTTACAGGCCAGCCGTGGTTTTAAAGGTCTTTTTAAGTCTCTCGGTTTCTTTCCATTTTTGAGGCAATAGTGAAATATGAATGAACTTAGCACCCTCTCTGCAGTGTTGGCTAACTTTTGAAATTAATTATGCTTTAAAGAGAAGAAATTAATGTAATTTGATTCTGATGCATTGGTGGTGTCACCTTGCACGGATTTCAGAGGTTAATAAAACTTGACTACATTAATGTGAATACCTGAAGGACGGGAAAGATATTTCAGCTGTAAAAAATACTGATCGGGGAGGGCACTTTGCAACATCTGTCCAGCTTTAGGTTTCATTTGTTCTCTTCGCTGTCCCTGGAGGCTGGCCGGGTCAGCCCCGAGGGCTCTCTGGAGCTGTTCTTGCAGAGACAAGGAAGGAGCTGCAAGGGGTGTGATGTGGAAATAGGGACGATACTTTAGGGAAAGTACAATTTTTCTGTAGGGCTTTAGCGTAAGATACACCTGTCCTGTTGTGCCTATATGTGCTTTGTTTTAGGCTGGCTGCGCCAGTATCGGGTACAGTCTCTGAAGCTGTAAAATCAATATAATTTTGTAATTGTGACTTCAGTTAGCAACGGGGAGGGGGTTTAGCCATGATGTGACTCTAGGTAAGCTAAACTGTCAAAGTCTTGACAGGATGTGAGACTGGAACAACCTGATTGTAGGGAGAAGCAGCACTGGCTTAGGAGGCTTTTTGTCTTTGGTTCTTTGTTCTCATTCCTGTTGGCCTGAGCATGTTGCATCTCTGCCTGGATGGTAGGAAGCCTTTCCCTGGTCTCACCTTGAAGAAGGTCATAGTAGCTCCATCCTTCACTGCCCCGTACTCTATTTTTGTCTGCTTTGCCAAGTCATCTGCTGAGTCGATGGGGGATTCCATCCTCTCCACTGTCAGGAAGGCGGCAAGGTTGGCCGTGTAGGACGAGATGATAATTAGGGTGAAGAACCACCATATGCCACCAATGATCCGTGTAGACAGTGCTTTGGGCATCAGCTCAGAGCCTGGGGTAGGAGATGGGGAAGGAGAAGGAGGGAAGAGGTTACAAAGAGAAAGGAGCCATTTTGTATATACGTTACATATGTACATTATATACATACATACATATAAAGGATTAGGTTTCACTGTCAAAACTGTAACAGCTATGCAATTAAAGCCAAGTGTTTTTGAGGCAAATTATCCAGACATCTTGTGTGCAAGGAAATCAGTGGAGTTTTTGTAGCATTTGTAGAAAACCCCTCTCCCTTTATTGCTAACCTTGGGTACAGTGCACAATTTACAGGAAACATTCAAACTGAAGTAATTAACTAGGCTGCTTTTATGGGATTTAAATAGCAAGCCATTTATGAACTTTTATGAGTGTTTTGTTCTGCCATTTAAAAAGTGCTTTGCTTTTATATGGATTACTTTTCAAAGGACTCACTCTAGAGAGTGTGTTCAAATACACAAGGTTTAAAAAAAAATCAAAGAGCGAGAGAAAGGAATTATCAGGGTCCAGTACTTTGAATACTGGTTAGAAGTAGGGAAGCAGGAGATGTTACAGCATAAAAGGTGTAACAGGTCTGGAATGACTTTTGTTGAGCAGACATGAAGGATTAAATGGGTTGTGCTATTTTTGTAATCGCCCAAGACACCTTTTGAAGCCAGGAAAGAGCTTTGGGTTTGAAGCAACTGCGTTCAGAGGATATATCCAACCTGAAATTTGCAACAAAGATTGGGCTTTGCAATGCAATTTTAAGCAGCATGGCATCAAAGCATAGCATGGAGTGTAGCTTTTCTCCTATCTGAGTGCAGCAAGGAGACACCAGGAACCAGAGGAGCCTTGGATATTGAGGGTTGCTTCGGTTCTTCTCAAGATTCTGCTTCTTTCCCATTCCATCTCTTGCCCTTTGATACATTGGATGGTGTGACATCAGTCTAGCTTTGAAATATTTTTCTTGTTAGATGCAGAATAGAGTTAAAAAGAATACAGCTTTTTCATTTATCAGCATCTGATAAGAGGATGATTCATCCTGCTAAACCCTCTTGCTGGGAACTGTCACTGTCTGTCAGGGCAACCAAAATCTGGGAAGAATCTCTATTCCAGGCTGCAGCAGTGGCAGCAGGAGGAGCATGGAGCAGTGGCACTGTGCATGCCAAGCTGATGCTGTGGTTCTTTTGCTTTCTGGGTATAACTACTGATACGTGGTAAATTAAAGTGTGGCAAATGTTTGACATTTCCCACTTATTTCTATTCCTGGATTTGCTGCAATTAGATCACAGCTGAATTTCATTCCTTATTCCGAGCTGCTCACAAGCTCCTCCTCTGCTGTCTTCCTAACAGATTTACTCTATCAATTCTGTCTATACATGTTCTGTTTGCTCTATTCCATCCACATATATGAACGTAATCCCATCCATATCCCATTTCTAAGGCCGTTGTCATTGTGGTATCTTACACCAGTAACACTGAAAACGTTCTGCCTGGCAGGCAGCGGCTGCCAGGCAGAGCTGCCTGGAGGAGCTCCTCGCCATCCTCTTTGCCCCAGTGGCCTTTGCCCTGCACCAGAGGGAGTTTCAGGCCATTTCACAATGTGCAGAATGACCAGATGAGGATAAAAATGCAGACAGACCAGAAGGCAAGATGCCTTGTCTTCCGTAGAAGTTGATTTAAAACAGAGCGATCCAGGACAGAGATCCTGAAACTAAACAAATTGCTTTAATTAAGAGAAGTAGGAATTTACAGAATCTGTGGGAAGCTGCTGAGTTTGGTGAATTAAACAGCTGAAGGAGACCAAGGCAGCGTTCCTCCTTGGGCGTGGTGGGCGGGTGCTGCTCTGTGCACACCAGCAGCAGCACATGTGCGAACGTGCCACCGCTCCATCATCTAGCTGTGCGCTTCCAGATGGCAGACTCGGGAGCTGCTCCTTCTGACACCTGCCAGAGCGTGCACGCTTCATTAATAGTAATTATTGTTACGCAGTGGCACGTGTGTGCTGGCAGCCAGCTGCAGCTCGCAGGGCTCTGCCTCGCAGGGTGAGCGATGAGTCTGTCCCTGGAGCTGCGTGGTGAGCTGTTGGGATGGGGGCTTTGACCTGCAGAAGGCAGAAGGTACAAATAGAGGCAGGTGCCCCCCCTGCCCCCCGAAGACTGAAAAGCTCTGGCACAGAAGAAATCGGATGGCTTGCTTGGCATAAAAACCCTGGACCTTTTCTTGGGGTGCCCCAGATAGGGCATGGCCCTAGCACGTGTGCCCCTCCATTTCTCCATCGTCGCTGTGCAGGTGAACTGGCACATCTCAGTGGGTGTCTGCGTGGAGGTGAAGTTCAAAGTCGGTGAAACACACGGTCACCAAGAGCTCCTGAACTGCAGATCACAGCTGGCTCCCCTGAATTGTCTCATTAGCCCTTTGCTGGCCTTGGCCCCAGCCAGAGGCTGGCGCCCTGTCCGCA